AAAAAAAAATGCATTTCTCATTCTGAAAGAGCCAAAACCTAGAGATGCCACTGCTCATTGTAGAGCTGCTTTATCAATCGTTTGCCTTCTATCGCTGCCATTTGTGGACAGGTGTGCACATACCAGAGATGAATAGTCTCCTAAGTGAGTCACAAACACCTGTCCCTACTTAGTAGACCTTTCTGCCTGGTCCTCCCACTTTGCCCACTCCCGGAACTCTGCTAGAGACATCTCTTTGGATGCTTTGCAGATAGCCTCCCAATGGCCATCAGGTTATGCAATGAGCTGCTAATGTCAAGGTCAGTAGTTCCAACCCACCATCTGCTATGTGGGAGGAAGATGAAGCTTTCTGCTCCTGTAAAGATTTACAGTCTGGAAATCTGCAAGGGAAATCTGTCACCTAACTGTCTCCCTTTCCTTACATATTTAATTTTTAAAGGTCACAAACGAGAAGACTGGCTAGGAAGGGCTTATTAAAATCAGAACATGTTACATATTCACACAAAGAGAAACACTTTGCATTTTAATATTCACTTAATGTAAAATTTACATGAAAACTCCCCTTTGCATACATACCTTTCTTGGCGTGACTACATTTGATCCGTACAGTTCTTCAGCTACACAAATTCTTTTCCCTTTTAATTCTCTTGAAGCTATTTACAGTGTTTCCTTTCTAAACAGTAATTACCAAGTATCTGAGTTGATAAATAAACAGGCACACTAAAGCACCTTCTTACCATATGTTCTTGGAGAACTTTATAGGTCTCTGCAGCTGATGAACATATTTTAACTGGATCAGCAAGTTTATCCTCAAATTCAGACACAGAGTTCTGGATCTGAAACATAAAATGGAGCAATATTTAAAAATTGGTGAAATATAAATATATAATATAGAAGTAAATAATAAGTGAAATATATAACTAAATAAAAATAATGATAAAATAAAACATAGAAGTATAAAATATATTTTAAATGTATCAAATGAAATAACATTATTGAAGAGAAGTATGACTTCTCTTTTCTGATACTGTCCAATGTATGATAATAAAACATATTTTTCACATAAAATGAAACAATATCCCCCATTACATGAAAGCAATGCAACTAAGACCGAAGGTCCTTCTGCTAGAAATATTTTTGTACTCCTTCAGAGAAAAGTCCTGGAGAAATCATGATCCACTTCCTCATCACTGACAAGTAGGTTGATTGCTGGTCCATTGTGTCTTTTCCTAGTCTTTGTTACATTTCACTAGCAAGCCAAGGTGACACGGATAACCTTAGCAACAATGGACCAGTGCTTACCTTGCTAAGGTTCTCCTCAAAGGTCTGTTGTTGAGACAGATGTCCCAGCATGGTGCCCTCCAGGCACTGCGCATGCTCTCGGAGTTCTTCCCAGTACCGCCTGACTTGTGTCAACTTGGCTTTGATTCGAGCCGATTCTCCGGTGGTGACATATTGAGAAAAAGACTGTGCTTCTTCTTCTAATCCAGAAATGCTCCCGATCTGGCTCTCTATTTCCTGCAGTGTGACCTAATAGCGAAGACAAGAAAAACGACCATGCAGGCTGAGCAGGCTGGCCTCCCTACAATAGTGCATTTATCCATAGAGGAAAGCAAACAAACACATGGGGAAATGCTTCCCTCACTGAGCAATACATTTAGACCATTAGAGAGCAGCTATGAACAGCACTGGGTGTTCGGACATGGCTATGGAGAATGGAGAGAAATGACTGCTCCTGTCTGCAGGGACGTAAAACGGGGAAAGTTCTGGAATCACACGGTGTCTCCCATCGTTCAGGGGGTTGCCTCTGCCTCTCCCAGGCAGGCACACACCCACCCAATCTGCAGAAACAGTGCGTTCTAATAATAAACAGGACAGCTACTGCTGACAGCCCTTTAGTTTCTCTTAAACATGCACTTGAGTGGTTCACATATTTTCTGAGTCCGTTCCTAGCTAAAAGCAGTCTTTTCAAGTCTGTCCTCTGTTCTCTCTGCCCATAGTTTCCACCTATAAAATGGTGCCCATTCCCAAGGAAAAAATTCAGGAAAAATGGGGGTGGGGGGGCCGGATATAAGACTTTTCTTATGGAGCAAGCAATCCCCCAGGCGATGCTGCTGCTCCTGAGCCAAGCTTCCTACTTTGTAGATTGATACAAGATCTATGAGCTCATGTTCTTTATAGGAAAAAGCCTTGACACCGTACATTCATTCTGGGGCAGAGAGGACCTATTGCCCAATACATTTAAACCATTGATTGTTATGCAGGGTGTGTGTGTGTGTGTGTGTGTGTGTGTGTGTGTGTGTGTGTTTAAAGGAGCACATGTATGGGAGGGGTTTATCCTAAAGACAGAAGTTCATTTGTTCATAAGAGAACAAAGATTATTTTTCTGGGAGGGTAAAAACATGCCTCTAAATAAAGCTAAACATTCAGACGACTGTCAATTGGAAACAATTTCAATGGAAATTGTGTTCCTCATCCTAGGAGAAAATGGAACATGTGACTTCCACTTATAGGCGATAGCATGGTCAGGGATAACGGCTGTGTAGATGAGTCGCACACACCTCGCAGCCGGTAAGTGCCATGCGTGTCTATTCATGTTCTTTCTCACAGGCCTGCCCACACGTGTCGATCCGATGGGTGTCTGGGTGGGACTGAGCATGGACAGCATCTTTCATTGTATTGCTATTGTTTAAGATCCTAGCTGATTTGGTTTTTTGTTTAATTCGGGCATTTGTCACAAGCATACTTATCCACCCTCCAACCCCCACCAAGGCCCTGTGGTCAATAATTGTGTTAAGCACTAGTGGAGGACTGAGTTATTAGTTCTTAGACTAATGGATGCCACCAACAAATCTCAAAAATGAAAAATATGGAGTGATATGGTTGGGTTGTGGCCCCAGAAAGGTCGAAGGTAGAGATGATATAATTTACGAATGATTAGTAAGGCATAAGAACAAATCCGTTGATAAGAAGGAAATGAGGAGTTGGGGGTGGCTGGGGCGGCCGCTCACAGGTAGGAAGCACAAGAGCTGGGCTAAGAGTGCTCCTCCTCCCCACCACCCAATGCTTCATTCATTTTAGCCACCAACCAGAAACACTCTCACAGCAAGGGCCTGAGGGTTTTTAAATATCCCCCATGATAGAGTCTTCTGTTTGGAAACAGAATATGAACCTATTGGATCAATGGGGAAGCGTACAATGTGTTCCATTATACCTTTGCCTACACCTGGCAAATACTGTTCCTGGTATTCATGTTCATTTAATATCATTGAGGTTATTTTCAAAAATGGCATATGGGGCAGATACAGGTGTACTTTGAGACTTGTGGCATGGAAATATACTATCAGATATTGGTCTATTTGAAAGTAAAATGTGCACCTCTTTGCCCCATAAAAGTACCACTTAGATGGCATCTGATCCTGGGCACAGTCAGAATCCTGGACTAAAGGTTCAAATAGCAGAAAATGCATGACAAGAAGGCTAAAAAGTTCCGGTTAAACCTCAAAAGAGGGAAATCGGAGGAGAAAACACGTATTTCAGTCTGCAGTTCATTTTGTTTCTTCAGAACTTAGTAGAAATAATCAAATGGTAACGTCTTACAACGTTTAGAGATCACCATCCTTTCACACTCTTGTCTAAGGGCTCTGCATCTCTTCCGACCACAGCCCAGCATACACACGCAGATGGCATGTACCACACCGACTGGGTCCTGGGTTGCACAAGGAGTGGGGTAAACAAGGAGAATCTGAACAGCCCAGTCTAATCTGGGCTCCCAAACATGCTGCCCTCCCACCAGGCATATGGAGCTCCCTGGCTCTGAGTCCTAATGAGACATGCTCCCTCACCCTGGTTCTAATCTGACTACGTGTAATCGAGTGAAGTGGCAGGGGGTTTTCCTAGTCCAAGGAAAATGCGCAGTGACGGAAAAAGAAGTCGTGGGATCTTGAAAATGTGCTGGGTTTAAGAAAAAAGAAAAAAAGTACCAGAGAGCAAAAGAGATATGAACACAGGACCTATTTCTGTCAGCCCCCTGTGTGTCCATTGTTTGAATGAAGTGAATGAGGATGGGCCAAAGCCACGTGGCTCTTGTGGGGAGAACAGAGCTGACACAGCGCATCTCAGCAGTTCAAACTCAAGGTCATCCTAGATGGAAATGTCAGAGGGGGCGTCGGATTGCCTCCCATATAAGAAGGTAATCTCTGGAAGGCCTCCTGGTGGTTGCTTAGGGTCAATGCTACTCATAGGAATAGTTCTTAGAAAGCACATAGTTTTGGGCGATGGAAAACATTTCACAGTGTATCAGTGAACAACGGAGCACTCCAGAGGGGTTCAGTCAAAATCAAGAAAAAGAATAATGTAACCATAAAAATATTTTAATGATATTGCACACACACATCGATGCTGAATGCACATGTCAGACAATATTGATACAACATTATCCTTCTATTAAGTTTTCCTCTTAGCTCAGTGATTTGGTGTGAACTTAATTTTCATAGAGGCACGTAGCACTGAGAGATTTGTCCTGGGGCCAGACAGCACTGGACAGAAGGAAAGAAGGGCATCCTTCAAAGCTACGCATGGGGCATAAATGGAACATGTGAGCAAGTCACCTTAATTTGGCCGATTTGCACGTCCAAGGCCGATGGCGAACTTTCCAAGGCATTGAGCTCTTTTTCTTTCTCGGTTATCCAGGCCGACAGGGTCTCAAAATGACTGCCAAAATGATCCCACTGGCTTTTCACCATTTCCATGGTTTTAATACTAAAATTAATCACATTGAGTAAACAAAAGGCAGTCATTTAATAGCGAGCAACCACACAGCGTGCTTTCAGTCACCGAGCCGACAGCTCGCAAAGGCCTTTGCGACCATTTCAAAGCAGACACTCTGGAACAAGAACTACAAAGTGTACTTCTGTGCTGAGCAGTCAGCCACTCAGCCCTCCCGTCTCCCTAGCTCCTCTGAGAACACACCTGGAAGAGGGCAGCTGCTGCAATAAGCTAGGAATGCAATGGTGCTTCGAACAATGCATTACTGGGCGCAAAGGAAGATGACTCCCAGTAGAAGCTGGTTAAGCTCTGCCTGTGGCCTGCAGCGCCAGGACTTGCTGGGATGGATTGTCCCAGAAGTTACAAAGGTCCTAGTTTCCTGGGCATCGATCTTCTTGCTTTTAAAAGGAGAGACACTGTGTTGGACCTTGATACTCAAAGACCTCTATAAAATGCATCTTTGGGAGGGAAGGCTAGTTTGCGAATGCAACACCAGGCTGCTGGGCAGGAGTGCTTCCTGTGATTAGAACCAAACCTGCAACTCGTGTGTGTGTGGGGGGGGGGGGGTGTGTGTGTGTGTGTGTGTGTGATTTCAGCTGCTGTTAGACATCTGTGCTGTCCTGGTGCCAAAGGCCATCAGCAACTTCTTGGACATGAGCACCCTAGCTGTTTTAACACGACATGTGATTTATTGGTGGTAAACCTGGCCAACACTTTTAAAATATAGATTCCCAGTTTGTAGTAGCTCTATGTCACCAGCTACATATGGCTTATACTTTAGAAAATGACCAAGAAGCTCCCAGTATATCATCGAACTGATAAGTCCTTGGGTTGTAAGAAGGAATGGATGGTGGGGGGTGGAGATCCCTGTTTACCAAAAGGCACTTGAGAGATCACTAAAAGATCTGCGACATCACTGATTGTCACATTAGCCTCACAGTGGCAAGTCCATACCCTGGTTTGTCCAGTGCTCTCTGCTTTAGGATAATGCAGCATAGGGACCCTCAAAATGAAATAAGGATTCAAATGGGTATTGCTAATAAAAGTGGCCTCCGTCTTAACAAACTGTACATGTTACTCCTTGTAAAACGTGATGGAGAATATTTAACAGCAGATCAAGTTCTTTGTCATTTTAAGCCAATGACTGGATTGCAACGTTTTGGGAAGTGGTAAGCTGTTGATTTGCAGTGATTAATCATATTAGAAACAAATTGTACATCTCAAAGTCCATCTGAGAAATGATATCACATAGCTGATGAGGAATATGCTGCTGTAATGTCTGGTGACTCACTATTACGTAAAAACGGTAAGCTGCTAAAATAGAAGTAAAGGCTGTCTAATTTCAAGGACCTCCTGCTACATCCTCAAGTGTTTATTCCCTCCGAATTATTTTTGTGTATATGTAACAGAATAGCAGTAGATCAGACCATCCACTCTTCCTTCGTAGTCAAACACACACCATGGGTTTCCAAATAAAACAGGCTGCTGAAGATCATTTCTGGACACAGCAAGTCCATCTATAGTCACCAGGGTTTGAGGTGCTATCGATAAGCTCCATTGGCTTCTTGGGATTGGGGCCATCTAGTCCCCAAGATAGGTGTTTAGGCTTAGAATCGACACAAACAAAAGCTCTCCCCTTCCCTGTGCCTAGTGACAACAAAATAAAACAGCTGTGAAACTATTTTAAATATTGGCTCTGAGGTTCTCTCTACAATAAAGGCCACAGAATTGAACAGATGCGCCTTTTTCTGGGACAGCATCAACTTCAGAGGCAAAAACCCCATCCCTGACTCTGTGCTGCTGTCTGGTTAAGTGATACTTTCTTTGGAATTATGAGTTGCTTCCTGAACACATGCTGCAGGACACAGACACTCTGCGATTATAAAAGACTGCTTTGAAGACAATATCCAGGAAAGGTGGGATTTAACTTTATCTCAGAGAGGGATGGTTAGGACCGGTCAAGCACATACTCTTCTTCGAGCGTGTCTTCTAGTTTTTTGACTTGCTCTTTGACGGACTTCGCCTGCTGTTGAAGCGACTGCTTGTTCTTGGGCCCAAGCGGTATCTCAGCGGCTTCCTTCACCAGGTTCTCAGCCTGAACGGCAATGCCTTCTGTCCGTTTAGAAAACTCCTGGGGGGAAAGATATCGCAATGGTGACAAAGGTATCTTTCATCGGTCTGTTCACAAAGAAATGGCGTCTTCCTCAGACATTACTCCAGAATGGACAGACAGATGGATCAATGGGTGGGTGGATAGATGGATGGATGGATGAATGGATGGGCTCAGGGATCTATGGATCTTTAACTTACTATCCTTGGCTAATAAAACTCATGGAGGTTTGTCCTGGCCAAAACAAAGATTCTGTTCAATGATTTTCATTTGACCAACTATACTTGCAGCAGCGTCCAAGAACCCTCACAGAAATGCTCTATCAGGAATGGCAAGATTTCATCACCTGTCCTGTGGACATGTCATCAGGAGCCATCGATCCCTGGAGAAGGGCATCCTGTTTGGTAAAGTAGCAGGGCGGTGAAAAAGAGGAAGACCCTCGACAAGTTGGATGACACCGTGGCTGCAACTATTAGCTCAACCAGGACAGTTGGGAGGATGGCGCAGGACGTGCTGTTGTGCACAGGGCCAGCGAGAGTCGGAACCAACTTACAGCACCGGACAGCAACAAGGACCAGGACCCACGCGGTGAGAGCGGGTTACCTTTGTCTGCTCCAGTTCCGAAGATAAGCTTTCCAAGCTGCTGAAGCTCAGGAAGCGCTCATGGCTGGATCCTGTCTGGAAAAGGTATCTGACGACTGTCTCTTTGTTTGTTTCAAATCGCTCCCATTTTTTCAGTGTGACCTACATTTGAGAGAGAAAAAGAAATAACTGATCACCCTAGAGATTACGGAAGTGTGTCACAAAACAGTGTCACATTTCCATTCGTTTGGAAAGCCATGGATGCCCAGTTAGCAGCCAGAATGAATTCCACCCAGTCTCGCTTAGTAACACTTCTCCTAAGGCCATCCTGAGGAACTGCCTTTCTGGGTGTCCCTGTCATCGCTTTCAGACAGAAAGCCTGTGACCCAGTGATTTCTGAGTCCTCCACCAGTCACAGCCAGTGGCTCTAAGACACGATTTCAAGTGTGGATAAGAAGCAAAGAGATCAGTCTCAGAAAGGCGAAGGCTTCACGACGGTATTACTATAAAGGGAAAAGCCAGTCTCACATCAAAGGAAAGTTTCAAAGACTATGATTGTGGGGTGGGGAGGGAAGGAAGGAGGGTGCGTGGGGAAAAGTAAAAAGAAGAAAGAGCCACATACATTGGGGGGTGGGGTGGGGGGCGGTGTTCGCTGGGATTCTGTCACCGGTTTGTCACAGTGGGCTGTGCAAACCATATGGAGTATGTTTTTCTTTGTCTATGTCATATTCCACAAACAAAAGGTAAGAATCATAAAGATGAACAAAATAAAAAAGAAGGGTCGCAGCCTTAACCCCACCTCCCTACCTTACCCATCAGACCCACTCACGGGTCTGAGTGGTCAGAAAGGAGGAAGAGTTCCACGGAAACGGACTTAATCCTTGTGTGACACAGGCGCTCTTTGAAACCCACAAGGCGGGCAGGGAGTAAAGGGAAGGGGAGAGGGAAGACAGAGAACAGGTGGCAGTTCTGAAAAGGTTTTGTTTTGGAGGGTTTTGGGGTTTTTTAAGGTAATGTGCTGGGCTTTCTGGAAAAGCAGAATGACATCATGTCAACGTCTGGATACAGGCAGGGGTGGGTTCAAATCCTGGCTCTCTTACTGGTCTCTTCCGTGTGACTTTGGGCAAGGGTCCAGTTTTGTACAATGTGCCAGGGGCAGGGCCTGCCGGTCCGCCTGCCGGGTCCACCTGCTGGCTGTGGTGCCTTAAAGGGCTAACTCTGGGGAAGGGATTCCCACAGCGCTGGAGCAACTGAGGCAGGGGCCGAGCTGCTCCTGCTAGTGTGAGAAGTGCTGTCCTGGTTACAAGTGGGGCTGTGATCCGCCAGGTCAGCAGTTCGAAACCACCAGCTGCTCCTCAAGAAAAAGATGAGGCTTTCTATTTCCGGGAATAGTTACAGTCTTGGAAACCCACAGGGGCAGTTCTGCTCTGTCCTGGGGGGTCACTGAGTCAACATTGACTCAAGGGCCGTGAGAGAGCATGTCTCGGTTTACAGGTCGGGCTGCGCGATTCAAAACCACCAGGCGCTCCTTGGGAGAAAGAGGCGGCTTTCTACTCCCCAACAATCTCTGAAACTCACAGGGTCAGTTGGCCCCTGTCCTACAAGGCAGCCTCGTCGGGAGTCGCAATCCACACGATGGCTGTGAGGTTGGCATGACTTTTCAGTGTGAGATACAGCACAGCCTCTCCGCGGCACCTCCCTGGATGCGGCACCTCCCTGGATGCGGCACCTACCTGGATGCGGCGCTCCTGCTTCTCCCTGCTGTGCTCCACGCCAGCCAGACTGCTCTGCAGCTGCCGCAGCTCCTCCCGCACGCGGCCCCGCAGCGCCGCCTCTCCCGGCCGCGCCTGCGCCAGCTGCTGCTCCACGTCTCTCTTCTTGGCAGAGACCCGCTTGGTCTTTTGCTGAAACGTTTGATCAACAGATGAGTACAGAGGGTCCCCCTAAGCAGAGCCCTAAACGCCAGCACTGTGGCAGCGGGGCAGAAAGTCGGTCCCGGGCTGCGAGGGCTCAAACGGCATCTACATGCAAAGGTTCTGACTGGTGAAGAGGACATGTGTCACAGATCACGGGTTCTCAGAATGATTTATCTGCCAGGGAAAATTAGGTTTTCATGTAAACATACATGTATATATGTGTGTGTGTATACACACACACATATCTAATATAAATATGGAATGTTTGAGTGCAAATCTGATGTATATAGCTTATGGATTTTCACAAAGGAAATGCACCCATATAACCAGGCACCTGGTCCAAGAACTGTGTGGGGGGGACTTTCAAAATATTAATATCATTACCCAAATACCACTTTTATAATGACCGAGGACAATGTAACACTAGGCACTAATTTTTTATGTTCCAGCATTATTAAGTATCCCTATAAAGCCTACAGGGTGTATTGTTACAGAAACATTATATAAATTCTATTTCTACATATTATTATATGTAAAATTAGCCAGTCTTTTGCTACATATTACGTTAGTTGGAATTGCTTGATTAGAATATTTTGTTTTAAAAACAGTTCTCCTCACATGGCGTTTTCGGAAGTCACAACACATCCCATTAGTGCCTATGACTGCCAGGGTTAAGATGATCAGGATTCTTTATTATCACAAAGTGTACGGGATTTTCTTCACTCTCAGTTCTAATGAACACTGCCTGATCAACACTCTTCCCAAAATTTCTGGCATTGCAAGTTGATGTTAGGATTTCTACAACTAAGATGCACTTCGAGTTGTCACCCAAGAAACACGATTTTCATACAATGTCAAAAATCCCAGTGAGGGGACAACAAACAAACAGACAGACAAAAACCATTATCCTTCTCCAGGCTTTCTCTGCTTTGTTACAGAAAGGTCAGTTCAGCACGTTTCATGCAGAGTATCCCAGGAAAATCCATGTCCTCCCACAAGTTCCCTGAACTTCTGGGTACCCTTGGGACTTTCAGTCTGATCGTTTATTTTTGCAGGATCTTCTCAACTACTTTAATGGCGAACAGAGAGAATAGATGCGTTTGAAAACAATAAATAAATAAGAAGTGTTTGGTGCTTTTCAACCATTTCAGTGGATCTCCCCGCCCACCCAAGAGGTCAACCCCTGTACCCTCTGGATCTCTCCCTCACTGCCACTCGCTCACTCACTCACTCACTCACTCACTCACTGCCATTGAGTCAATGTTGACTCATATTGGGTTTCCAAGACTTCAAATCTTTATGGAGTAGGAAGCTTCATCTTTCTCCGGAGGACTGGCTGGTGGGTTAGAACTACTGACCTTATGGTTATCAGTTTAGTGTGTAGCCCTCTGAGCCTCCAGGGTCCTTCCCTCAGTCCCTAGTGCACTCAATAGATGTCTAGTGACCAGGGCAAGCGGCATGGTACCTGGTGATGAAGAAGTAACTGCTGTGCTTCAAACAGATTTTCACTGTCCAAGATCATCTCTGCTTGCTCCTGGACTTCTTTCGAGCCAGAAATTAAATCTTCAAGGGAACTTTTTACAATTTCTTTGTACTGGACGCAGTCTCCGAAGTTGCTTAACATCTTTTCGACCTACAGGTTCATGAAACAAATATAAATCAGATAAGACTTAAGGAAGTGTAGGTAACTTTAAATATTTCAAGACTATATGCCATTCAAGTGCTCGCCAAGAGCTTCAAATGTATACTCTGTGCTCTGACTTTTACCACATAGTTGAGGCTATTTAATCTTTGTTAAAATACAGGTCATGCCATGCAAGTCTCATTGGATGTAGTTGCCTGTGGTATTGTATTAAAACACAACTACCAAAAAGGTTTTTTTCAATGTAGCAATAAAACCAAAATAATAAAAACACATATGAATGGGTTTCAAATGGTTTGTGAGGAAACGCCACGATCTATCAATCCCACTTTTCTACAAACCCTTTGCTGTCCCCGTGGATGTTGTTCCCTCTCTCTTTTACTACCAGTAAATCATTTCTGACCCGGCAGTCCCACACAACAGGGCAGAACTTCTCCGGTGGGCTTCCGAGACTAACTCTGGACGGGGGTAGAAAGCCTCCTATTTCTCTCGGAGCAGTGAGTGGTTTCAAACTGTTGACCTTGTGGTTAGCAGCCCAACGAGCAAGCACTTCATCCCCAGGGCTCCTATGTTATTTCTTGGAATCATATAATTGCAATCTCACTGCTAATAGCACATAATTATAAAAGTGCCTTATTTGAAAGTTGAGGTCATCCGATTCAAACTATATAGGGAACCAATTTAGAAAGGAAAACAAAAAGAATAAAACAAATGCTTACAATACATTTCTCACATTGCATTAATAAATATATGTATTTTCTCATTGCGTGGTTCTGTAATGGATTCTCTTACTTGACATTTTCTCAGATTTGCCGCCTTCTTTTCTTTCTTCTGATTCCTCAAGTTTAAGGTTCATCAACAGGGTTTATATTCAAAGCCCATCCCTGTCCATGTTCACACCTCTAATGACGTTTTATCATTTCTCTTTAACATCAAGGTTAAAGGGGTTTTCCTCCTCTTATCCTTCTTGTTTTTCTCCTTTGACCCTCTTCTGATTGGAATGTGCTCAAGGCAAGCTTTGAGCACATTGCTCGCCAAACAAGCAGAAAGATGGCAGAACAGCCCTGAAAACCACAAACTCCAGGTCTCAGGACACCCTGCATCCATTCTGCTCAAAGACATAACTCTTTAGCACATGCTGTGCATTCATCCACAGCCGTCTTTCAGTGCACGCTCACCAACAACCTGTGTTCAGCAGGAGTTATTGCTAAATGGGGTGCAGTCAAAAGTAGGGGTGAATGTGTCAAGCCTATTATTTTGTTTTGTTTGCTTTTTAAATCCATTGCTCTCTTTGCTTTCATTAAGTAAGTAAATAAGAAGAGGGATATCAAGATAAAGGACGTAGTAGTGTGAGACAAACAAGTCGGCCAAGAATGAACACCTGCATAAACACTTGTTAAAGGGACAAGCCCTCTGAACAGCATCAGAGAGCACTGGGGAGATCAAGCTAATGTTTTTATTAAATGCCTATTTTTAAAGGCTGCCAACATGCTTTTTGTGGGATGAATAATATTATACATTCCGCTATCAGCAGGAATCCAGCTACTTCTTAGGTCTTGCATTAAAGGTCCCCCGAATATGAGTTAAGCTTTAGAGCCCTTCTGGTACTTGAGTTGACCAAGTAGAGAGTAAAGGAGTGTAATGCCATTATTTCAGGTAGAGGACAGTGGTGGCCACCAGCTGACCTTTCCCATCGCTATGGACAATGGATGACCAGAGGGCTGAAGTAGCCTGGGATCCAAAATTTGATTAATCCTGCCATTGTTTTCAATTTGTCAAAAAAGTCTTACAAAAGCCCTCTTTCACATATTGAGATCGATACTTAAAAGTTAGATCACACGTAGCTTAGAGTACGTTTGGTGTAGGGAAATCCACCACTACAGTCTCAATCCCCATGAATTAGAACATATCATGAGTTAAACGGCAATGAAATGGTGAAATTAGAGAGCTCTGTAGAGCAGCGGTTCTCAACCTGTGGGCTGCGACCCCTTGGGGATCTATCCCTTTCAGAGAGGTCACCTAAGACCATATTTCAGATGGTCTTAGGAACCGAGACACCGCTCTCTAGCCGTCATCAGGCAGTTCCGCCCACATGCAGATATGCCCACAACCGGGGTCACCACAACATGAGGAACTGTATTACAGGGTGGCAGCATTAGGAAGGTTGGGAACCATTGCTGCAGACTATTCAAGGCACTCTGGCACATAGTGGGTTACACATTGAGCAACTGACCACAACGTCAGTACATTTGAACCCACCAGTCGACTGCCTCGCAGGAGGACGAGGAGCCTGCATGCTCCTGTGAGACTGAAAGTCTTGTCACCCTAAAGGAAGCTCCACTGGTTCTATGCAGTCATTCGGAGTCAGACTGGACGGGCTCACTGGCTGTGGTTTTGAGTTTTGTTTGGTTGGCTGGTTTGGGAGAGAATTCAAACTCTCAGAATCAGAGAGCACTGTGGGCATTGGGTAGACAGTCATCCCAAAGATCATTTATTCAATGCAAATGTAAGCACCCACTCCTCCCTTATCAAAGAGGCTAGATTCCAAAGACTAGGTTGTTATGTGAAGTGCAGCATTTTGGGAAAATGAATGATAACATCAGATTTTTTTTAAAATGGAGAATGATTGCATCCTTACATCCAGATTACATCCCTATGTAACTGGTAAACCACTGAGAATCATGGCCCAGCAAGGTAACATTTAAACATCACAACCAATGTTACTATTGCTTTGTACCTTGGTGGTTACATCTGCCAGGTATACATAATTAATGTGCAAAATAGTTAGATAGGAGAGTTTTTAATATTATCCCAATTGTAAAAGTCTGCAGAGTGAGATAGTTAATAAGTGAGGAAAAAATAAAATGATCAGTCCTACTGCCTTTATGATTCCGACTCACAATAGCCCTGGACAGGGTTTCCGAGACTGTAAATCTTTCAGGAGGTAGAAAGCTTTATCTTTCTCCAAAGGAGAAGCTGGTGGGTTTGAACTGCTAAGCTTGTGGTTAAGCAGCCCAGTACCTAAACCACTGCACCACTAGGGATCCCACGCAAGACATACTAGGTCTATGCTAGTGTACAATGGGCTCAGACAGAAGGGCACTCTGAGGATGACACAGGACCAGGCTATGGGTCAGAACTATCTGGAGAGCACTTAACAGCAGGAGCAACTCTACTACCCTTCTCACAGCAGCTTCCCTTCCCTAAGGCATTAGACTCTCCCGACAACCCCTGATCAGGAAAATAGTCTTCCTAAGGACAGAAGGGGCTCTATTAGAAATTAAGTAGATAGGTCTGTATATTTGAATCTATAAGCACATATATGGATATGTGGTAAAATGTGTGTCCAAAAAGTTTAAACTAAAGAGACTATCGAAGAGACTTTTACTGACCTGCTGATTAACCCTGGGCTACTTTAGTATAAGGATCGTTACTCTGTTCCAGAGACTCTTTCAATGCTTTAAACTTTGGGGATAAGCATTTTCACCCCTGTTTCATAAGTAAGGAAGCCAAGGCCCAGGTCACCTAAGAAAGGAGCCACCATTATCCATTTCTGCTTTTGTTTTACACTCTAGCTCAGTGGTTCTCACCCTTCCTCACACCGCGACCCTTTCATACAGTTCCTCATGTGGTGGTGACCCCCCAACCATAATATTATTTTTGTTGCTACTTCATCACTGTCATTTTGCTACTGTTATGAATCAGGCTACCACTGTGAAAGGGTCATTCGACCCCCAAGGGGTCGCAACCCACAGGTTGAGAACTGCTGCTCTAGCTTATGTGCTTAATCTCCATTGAAACACATTAAACTTACTGTGTAATAAGCGTTTATAGTAAAATATTTTAAATATGTTGATTTGCTAAGCATTTTCTTTAACTAATTCACATATCCAGTGAATTCACATATCCAGTGCAGCAGACCCCATAACTTAATCATCTTTTCCATCTTCTCCGTCGATCTTCAGGTAAGCCATAATGATTCTTTCTCGACTACAGTGTCTTCATAAAGGGATTTGCTGAACTATCAACAAAAGAACCTTCCAGATACCTCCCCCAGAATTCTCTGTGCAGGGTGGACGCGGATGTTATACCTCGGACAGCAAAGTCACGAGAGCTTTGAAGGCATTCGATAATTTGGCCAGCTCGTCTCCTCGCTTTGGGGCTTCCGTCTGAGAAGAAACCTCGATCAAAATGTTCAGCCTGGACTTCAGCCAGCTGAGAGTGTCTCCTCTGTTGGTGACGGCGTTTCTGATATCCTAGAGAAGACGGAGACATGCTTTTGAGGAAGACCAAAAAACAAAACCAAGAACCTGCAATCGTGACTCTCAGCTTCACAACAGAAAAGGACTCCGTTGAAGAAGGTTTGCAGATGAAAAGCAGCCCTTACCTCGCCAGTTGAGTGCTTGCTTACTTTCCTTGTGTCTACTGTTTAAACAAAAATCTACAATGGTTAGGAAGAATGATCTCCCTAGTGCCGATACCAGGTATATAAAGTTAACACTGTGTATGCCCCAAAACAAAAACAAACAAACCCCCTACCTTCACAACTGGAGGCCAGATATGTACATGTATTTCTCTGCACATAACAAAAGATAGCTTTGCAGTGTGCTATGGAAGAACACGTGATCCTACAATTCAGAATTATGACATGCAGCAAACTTGTTTATCTCACGCTCTGGGAGCTGGAATGATCGTGGTATATATTGAAAATGAAATCAGGATGTTTTTGCTACCTCAGTAATTTGTATTGCCAAAGAGTGTTTTTGCTAAAAAATATTATGGCTAATCCACAAATTTATTTTGACCTCATGTTTAAATTTTCTAGGATACTTTTATTACCATTTAGAAATCAGCACCCCAGCTGTGAAGATGCACAGGTTATTCATTATAAATGGATAAGGGAGGAAAGGACCCTAGAGAACAGAAGCAGCGCAGAAGCTGATTATCACTGACTGCAGAAATGAGAAAAGTGCTGCAAGATAAAACACTTTCACAACAGTGTGTCAGGACGCAGAAGAAAGCGGAGTGCTGACAGCGAGAGGCTTGGTGGGCACCCCGCCCAGAGAGCAGACTGACTCAAGCCTATGCTCGCCATCCTGGCTGGGTTTACCTGGCTGATTCAAGCTTCCAGAGGCTGATAGGAGCCCACCCAGGTGGACCTCGGTGTAGAAAGAATGCTTGGTGACTTTACCCAACTCCTTGACTTTTCTGGACCCTGCCTTTTGAAGGACTGAACACTTATCATAGAAAAAGCTAGTTGTCTTGTGCGCTCTGGCAATTCTTACACTTCACCTCTAAGAATTGCATTCGCATTTCCTCGCAGGAGTCCCCATGAGCTGAAGGTGTACTTGAGGTACCGTGAACAGGACCAACTCTCAGAGCCACTGACAACTCAATAGGCAAAATAAAAATGAATGAGAAGGTTTCTTTTTATGACCATTTTAAGGGCTTTATTTTTCATCCAAGAAATCTAAATAGGCAAGAGATCATCTTTCATGACTTAAATTACTGTCAAATTTCCAGTAACATAAAGATGGGCCAAGAACTCACCTCTACGGTGCGTTTGATCTCTCCATGGTTGGCAGTATCTATGGTCCTCTCCTTAATCTCCTTCAACTGGGTCTCCTTCGCAGAAATCCAGGAGGAAAACTCGGAAAACCTGAAACCACACATTGTTGTTTTCGCTTTTTTTTAAGGGAATGTATTATGATGGCTAAAATATGTATTATATTCTGAAGAGTCTCATGGAAATATAATAGCCAGGTATTCTCAAGATGACTAACGTATTTTCTGAGTCCCTGGGGAAAAGGAAGTTTCTCCTTGAGGTCAGCCTCACCTCTCCTTACCAGCATGAAGGACTGACCCACCCAAGCATGTCCCTCTCACAGGGATGGAGGGAATGGGGGAGGAAGGACATGGTCCAGTTCTGCCTCACAGAAAGAGCATGTAGGCCCCTCTGGAAATGACTGGAAGCCACATTCACTATTCAAGGAGGCATTTTTGGATAAGACGATACAATCTGATGTTCTTCTCTCTTGCGTTACATGAATGAGTATCCTTGGTGGCAGAGTGGTTAAACACTCAGCTACCACCCTGAAGGCCAGTGGTTTGAGCCCACCAACAGCTCAGCAGGAGAAAAGACTAACCCTGGAATCCCTGTGGGCCACTTCTACTCCATTCTGTACGGTCACGATGGCTCCCAAGGGACTCAGAGTGCACATCAATGACAAGGGGACCTCAATGAACTCTGTGGGTGCAGTCTGGGAGTACCTGTTGGAGTAGTCCTTCCATTTGTCTGGGTCCCCCAGGAGCTTCTCGTAGGTGCTGTCTACGGCCGCTCGGAGCTCTCTGAGGGCAGCGTGGCAAGTCTGAGGCACGCTTCTCACCGGGTCCCGAGCAGGCAGCTTCAGACACAGGTCCTCAATGAGCTGCAACCTGTTCTCACAAAGGTGATGCGGGCCTTTGTCGCTGAAGAAAACCTGGGTGGAAGGAACATTTTTATAAGCCTTATGGGAAGCCAGACCGCGTCCATCCATCTTCACAGGAGAGCTCCCAGCAGAGTCCCCTTTAGATTCCATGAGCCTGTCTTCAGCCCTCCACCAAGCCATCTGCTGTCGCCTGGGAGCAACAGGGTGGCTTTGAGAAGCTCCCCGCCTGGGGCAGACCTACCCTGTGCTCTTCAATCATCTTCTCGCTGCCTTCCTGGGGCACCAGCTTGGTCTCCCGGTCCAGCTCTGTTCTGCATTCATCTATGGCGGCCAGGAACCTCTTCTTCTCCACGTCAATCTTCAGATGAAGCAGATGATAGGGGGCTTCTCCTTGGAGATCCTGAATCCCGTGGGCAGAGTCAGAAAAACGTTCCTGACTAAGCACACTGCCAGTGGAAGTAGCACACACACACACACACACACACACACACACACACACACACACACACACACACGTTCTTCCACGGGGCCAGTGAAATTTGCTCCTTTTGCCTGCACCATGCCTTTTCCACATGATGTGGGCACAAGTTTACACAGTGATCACCCTGATTCATGTTCACTGCAGCCCCGTTGATACAAAGTGAGCTTCGTCAGCACCTTTAGAGACTCCAATTCCTTTGGGAAAAAAAATTTTTTTAAACCAGAGACATTTCAATTTCCAGACTTAGCAAGTAAAAATAGATTTATATAACTGGAATTTCCCCATGCACAGGGCTGAACTTTTTCCCCCCAGCTTGTATGAGCGATGTAAAACAATTCATTAAGGACCACAGCCCAGATGCAGAGCATTTTTGTAGTCACCCTTCCTGGCCCTGCCATGCCTTCATAGAGTGCCTATGAAATATGCCCCTCCACAGCACCGTACTCATTAACCTGCCGCGAGAGTCATCTTCCTAACTGCCAGGTTGGTGGTTCCAACCCACCACCTGCTCCAAAGGAGAAAGATGACGTAGTCTGTTCCATAAAGATGCACAGAGCCTATACAGGGTCCTTCTGAGTGGGAAATGACATGCTGGCAGTTGGATTTGGGTTTGGGGAGAAGAATCTTTGGAGTCCCCAAATTCACCACATTGACTGCCATCGAGGCCATGCTGATGCCCAGCAAGCCCAGAGGGAAGAGCAGAAGTGCCCATGAGGGTTTCTGAGCCTTAAAGTCTTATGGGAGCACCCACCCTCATCTCTCTCCGGCCGAGTGGCCGGTGGTTTTGAATCACTGGCCTGTGCATAGCAGCCCCACGTATAACCAACTACGCCACTAGGGCTCCCTGTGTTTAGCTGCGAACAGAAATCTCAACATGTTCAGCTGCGAACAGAGATGCTGGAGGTTTGACTCTACACAGGGGCACCTCAGGAAGGAGGTGCCCACTTGCAAAAGCAGCAGCGGTTGCACCTGCGATGGTGCCCACACAGGTCACTATGGCTCCAAAGCTGCTGTTTTGTTCTGTGTTCTACGGAGTTCTGTTTGTCTGTCTGTCTGTTTTTTTCCATGATTGTCTGCAGTTGGGCTTAAGGAAGTCAGCCTTCCACAGGGTCTCTGTTAAATCCGATCCTGGCATCCCTGCCGTGTTCGTGCTGAAGTCAGCCTCCATCGGAGAGGCCTGGCCTTGTCTCCCAAGATTCACTGCCCCCGCCAAGCCGCCCACGTGGGACTGGGCCGGATCAGAGGTCTGCATGTCCACGGATCACATGGGAAGCCTCTCTCTCTTCTGCTTGCTATTTGATTCCACTTCCTCCCTGCTCCCTGGCTCTTCTTTAAAACCCCTGTTCAAAGGCTAACTGTTTTAGTAATTCCTCTCCAATATCTCAGTGGGTCCACGTCCCTCTCTCAAAGCTGGAAACTACAAGGGTGGTTCAAACAGTATGTGGAAAAATTATCTTTTATTTCCCTTCTTGCACAAACTTTTTCAGGTCCGCTGGCATGTTGCTTTACTTTGGGATTATGCGTTTAAATTATACTTCTACTATGTATAACAAATTCTCTCTCCTAAGAGACTCGAAGCATTTCGGGAAAATTGACTGTGTTTTGCTCATCATGAAATCCTTAAACAATAAATGCGTTTATTTATATGTTTAAACTGATGATAAACTTTTGGAGGACAGTAACTCTCTTTCTGCGTTGTTCTTTGTCATTGCAGCAGTGTCCCCAAGACACAGGAACCCGAGGGTCCACCTCTGTGTTGAGCTGTTAGCCACAGGGCCAGTGATTCCCACCCACTGCCTCTGCGGGAGAACTATGAGCTCTCTGCTCCTGTGAAAGACGTAAAGCCTAGGAAACGGAAGAGGCCGTTCTTAGTCGGGCCTGGAACGTGGCTGTGACAGAATTGACTTGGGGGCGGTGAGTTGGCTTTTGCTTCTGCCTAACATACTTGACTCGCGGAAGGAGCGTTCGCTACATGGTGCCTGACTGCATTCGATGCTTGATACCACCCCCACCCCCACCACATCAGGAAACAACAACAGCAAAAAAGGCATCTTAACCCATCTGATAAAATCGATTTCATCAGGGCAAAAGGAATAACAAAAGTTTCATGGGATTTCACAAAGGCATTCAACAGAGGATGGCACCGTGCTTCATTCCATTGAACACAGAGCCTCCATGCGTGAGAACCGTTAGAACCACCGCCTGGTATGTTCTCGTGTTTGATTCCAGTTGAGTTGTCTTTACAATGCAAGGAGCAGCTAGGAAGCCTTTCTTCCTCCCGCTCTCTCCCTCCTCCCGGACTCACCTTCCACTGCTTGTGAAGCTTCCGAACTGCGTCCTGCAGGCCCTGCTGCTCCTGCTCAGGGAGGATGTCCGTGAGCTCGTCACACGCTTTCAGGAAAGCATTGAGCACCCTCTGGTCGAGCTGACCGAAGAACTCCTGAGGCGGGATGGACGGGGAAGGTAGGCAAGAGGGTCCTGGTTAGGTTTGGCAGTTCCTTGCTCCAGAAGTTCAACTCCAGAAGTTAAGGAAGATTTACCCTCTGGCTCAGCAATCCCATTCCTAGGAATATACCCCCAAAGACTGGCAAGCAGGGAGGCGGACAGATGCCTGTACATTAATGTTCACAGAACCCTCTTTCCAACGACCAAAATGGGCCACCACCCAAGCGTCCTGCAGAGATGACTGATTACACAAAACACCCTTCAGCCGTACGATGGAATAGCACTCCGCCATTAAGAGAGATGAAGCTCTGAGACCTGGTGCAGCACGGATGGGCCCAGGGACCACCGTGCTGAGTGAAGGAGGGCCGCCCGAAAGGAAACGTGCTCTAAGGCCCCACTTCCACGAAAGGGCAAGAACAGACGAATGCACAGAGACGATGTTGATCGGCAGGGCAGGAGTGGGGACAAGGAAACAAGTCTCTGCCGAGGGGACAATGAGTTTCTGTTCAGGATGATGACAAAACGGAGCAATGGACCCTGTTGATGGTTGTGCACATGGCACCTGTCACTATAGCCACTAAATTCTACACATTATGAGGGCTGGAATGGCAAGCATTTCGTTACATATATGACCACAATTTTAATAAAAAACAAACCGCTGAGGTGGAAAAAAGCCTCCTATCAGGAAGAATAAAATCAGCAGCAAACACCGTGCCGTGAAGCTGTCACGCTTCTAAACCAGCCTCCCTGCCCACTGCTGTGCTCTTCAAACCTTCTGGGCAACGACTATTTATTTGTCAGGAATGAACTGTAATCATCTGTAGTTATGAGTCAGAACCCAGTGCATTTGAAATGCATCAAGCCCTTTATATATCTCTGTGGTTTTCACATTTGGTAGAATGTTCTGGTACGCCAAGTATGGTCCTCTAACCGTGACTCCACAGGGATGTCTCTTTGGTAGAGGCTGAGGACGGAGCAGAAGCCAGAATGAACCCTTCCTCATCCCCTAAATGTGATGTGTCCATGGCCATATGTCCATGGTCCATTAGGAGCCATTTCAACTACACACCTGGGCTCAGGAATAGAGACGTGCCCATGACCGGGCCTCCCACAGTCTTGGAAGAACACATTCAGTATAATTTTGAAAATCCCATGATTTGAAGTAGAAAACGGCACACCATGGATCTGTAGGATCCGGAGGATTTGTCTTGTGTCCCCTCAAACTGATATGTTGATGTCCTATACCCTGTTACCTCTGAAAACAAGACCTCATGTGGAAACGGGTTCTTGGAGATGCTAGTGGTTAAGTAATCATGAGATCATGCAGGAATAGAGTGGGTCCGTATCCAAGCAGAGTGACTTATCAAGGAGGTGCAGAGACAGAGGGGAGGGGGCCATATGGGGACAGAGGTCTACTACAGCTGTGAGCCAGAGAGCTCCCGGGGCTACGGGAAGCTGGGAGAGATAAGGAATATCTTCTCCAAGAAGCTCTGGTGAGAACAGGGCCCTGTTGACACCTGACTGTGGACTCACAGCTGATAGAACTGTGAGTCTGTGCATTTTGCTCTTGTAAACCATCCCATATGTGGTACTTTGTCCCAGCAGCCCTGCGGAGGTAGGACACTGGTAAGAAGTGCAGTCAGCTGCTTCACAAATAGATTGCATTCACCACTGACAAGTGTGGCTTCTAAACAACCACTGATATTTCAGAACAAGATGACTCTAAACACCTGTTCCCAGGGTGCCCACCATCTGCGTCCACCAGCTCAAACAGGACTAGCGCTCACCATGCTGATGTCATTGCGATCACAATGGCCAGTTTAAGGGGCACAAGGCTGGCTCCCAGTCCTGAGACGTTTCAGGAGATAGAGCATCCCTGCCACAGCGTGCTAGCTTAGAGAATGAGCTGGAAGGACTTAGTCATTCACCGCAAACTATCTGCTACATCATCCTTGGCTATTTAAGACATTTTCTAGCTCAACAGAGTAGTACTTTGAGTCTGAGTTATTCTATGATGCCTTACAATGCCAAGGGCATCAGAATAGCTAACTTCTCAACTGCTCTTGAAGTTCCTGGGGTCTCGTGGCCCACAGCTTTCTACCCTCCTCACTCATCCGCCTGTCTCTCCCTCTCTGTAAACATGTTTTATAATCAAGGTCGCCTGCCCATGTGCCCACCGGGGATGGACTCACAGTGTGTTTCCGCAGGAGGTCTTCTGGGTCCCCCTTTTCCTCCAGGCCCTCCTGAGCAATCCGAAGCACCTTCTCCAGCTCTGCTCGGGACTCCTCAAATTTCTTCATCAAGCGGCTGTTGGTTTCCACATGTTTCTTCCAATCTCCAGTTTTCTTTACCATATTCTGGATGTAAAAATAATGATTACATTGTGAGGTTCTGTCCAGCGGTCGGTGTAAGATATGAAAATAATAATAATTTATAATTCATCAAGGCATCATAAGGGTTGGGGAGGAGAGGGTGGGAAAAAAGAGGAGGTGATACCAAGGGCTCAATAGAAAATAAATGGATAGAAAATAATGATGGTAACTTATGTACAAATATACTAGATACAATTGATGTCTGGATTGTTATAAGAGCCCCTAGTAAAATGATCTTTTAATAAAATAACAATCGATAAATAAAGAGTAGTCCATCTTTAAAAGACACTTAAACCTAACTTGGAAGAAGTACAGTCAGAATACACTTTAGAAGCAAAGATGGTGAGACTTGGTCCCGTGGACTTGGGGCATGTTGTCAGGAGAGACCAGTCCCTGGAGAGGGACGTGATGCTTGTGAAGGAGCGAGGCAGCACAAAAGAGGAAGACTATGGGCAAGATAGAATGACACCGTGGCTGCAACGATGGGAGCAAACATAAGACAACTGTGAGGATGGAGCAGGGCCAGGCAGTGTTTCCTTCTGTTGTGCACACGGTCTCTATGAGTTGGAACTGACTCGCTGGCACTTAACAATAACAATTAACCCCCTTGGAGACGAATGGGAGCCTTGTGGACATGGCCATTAAGCACTCGGTGACCGATCAAAAGGTTGATGGTTCAAACCCACCGCCACAAGGAGGGAGCCAACTCTTTCCTTGAAGATGGATACCCTTAAAAGTGGAGCATGTCGCCTCTCTCCTCTAGGGTTGTGATAAATAAGAATTGACTCGTTATCACTTTTTTCCTCCCACGATGAATTAATAGAAAAGGCAGATGTAAAGTGATGGGTCTCCAAACACCTGAAGGAGAGGCATCCCGATGGGGCAGAAAGCAAGATAAGCGAGGTTCATTGTTTCTCCATCCTTGTAGTCTCCCGAGCTAGTTACTGTCAAGAGAGTCATAACAAAGGAGAAAAGAAACTACCTGAAAAGCCACGTGAATGTCGGCAACCTGCCTCTGCAGCTTCGTCTGGTCAAAATGCTTTAGCACGCTGCTCACGCTCACAAACTTCTGAACGCTCTGGCTGCCTTTCTCGACCAGGGCCAGCATCTCTTTACAGCTCTGCTGACATGCCAACAGCTCCTGCAAGGGAAGACAGCGACAAGGGGCTGACAAGAGCAAGGAGGAGGCCCTAACGGCAAGAGCGTCCTTCTCAGCATCAACCCATGCAGAGGTCCAGGGGCACAGTTCTTTAAAAAGCC